TGGAATTGGACATTATGATAGAAAATGAAAAATAGATACTCCCTAAAAAGTAAAACTGCAATAATCAAATTGCAAACAAACAAGTTCTTCCATAAGCATAATAGATAATAGATGATCTTTAAAGATGCACTGTGTAACTTTTCGGTTGGGGGTCTGTCACCTGCTTGTTTCTATGGATCTGTCATGACTCTGCTTAGAATGTTCCACAATATGACATTAAACACATCTACCTTACATTTATTTAATTATGGTTGTTTTTTTAGAGCTCAAAAATGCCTTGACAACTTCACCAGAAAAGTTACACAGTATACCTTTAAATGTTCATTACCAACCATAGAATTTCTCATATTTTGCATATTCTAAGTGCACGGCTTCGTCTGGTTTGGTCCATGTTTGATCCCAGGTTAGACTTTTTGGTTTTGGTATAGTCCAGGTTTATTGATATATTACTACAGAGAAATACTGCGATAAATGATAATATTAAAACTACTTGATGCCACCGACACAATAACAAAGCAAGATAATCCCAGTTAACCATTTGTGAAATAGACAGTATTATTAGAAGGAGTCAGATGCATTAAATAAAAAGCAGAATTAATTACAGCTCAAAAATATAAAGAAAAAAAAAAAAAAAAAACAGGTGAAGATAGAAATGTTTAATGTTATACTGTGAAATATTCCAGACAAAACAACAACATCTCCATGGAGAAAAGTATTTGAAGCACTCTCCACAATCCATGTATCATTCATTCATTCATTTTTCAATATAAAACCAAAAATAAGAAAACAAAAAAACTACTATTTTCTTTATTATTTGCCTCCAAAACCAAAATGAAAAAATGGATAACGATTCGTTTTGTTAGTTTTCAATTTTGTGTTAAATAATGGAAAAAACGGAGAACAGCCGTTTCCTGTTTCCATCACTTAAACTGCGATGCTGGACTGAACCAAAACTAAACCAGGACTAAACCAGAACTAAACCAGAACTAAACCAGGACTAAACCAGAACTAAACCGTTTTCAGTTCCAGTCTGGTCCTGATCTCAGTCTCAGTCTGTTCTTGGTCTCAATCTCGGTCTCAGTCCTGGTCCTGTTCCTGGTCTCAGTCCTGGTCTCAGTCCTGGTCTCAGTTCTGGTCTGGTTCTGGTCTGGTCCCAGACCTCTTTTAAGTCCTGGTTCAGTCCCGGTGTAGTCCTGTTTTAGTCCTGGTTCAGGACTAAAACAGGCATCACAGTTTAAGTCACGGAAACGGGAAACGGTCGTTATCCGTTTTTTCCAGTATTCATTTAAAAACAAAATTGAAAACTGAAAAAAACGAATCATTATCCATTTTTTCATTTTGGTTTTGGAGACAAATAATGAAGAAAACTGTTGTTTTTTTGTTTTCTTATTTTTGGTTTTATATTGAAAAACTAATGAACCAATGATACACAGATTCTCCACCAGAAAAGTTACACAATGCACCTTTAAAACCATGTCCCATTACCTAAATATGAATTTTAAAACCATTTTCTGCTATTAATTTTTCACTTATTCAAGCAGGTTTTTGCATCACACACAGACAATGTGCCACTTGTTTTATGTATCTGTACTGGGTTCATAATGAATCAGAAATGTTTGTAATTGGACATTTTCCAATCATGCATCTGGATCTCATGATATTCAGTGAAGCCTGTTTTTACCCACAATGCATCAGTATACTTTACATCACAGAAACATTTACAGAAAATCATGGGTGCTAATATTACTGAAGAGGACATGTCAAGTTTGGAATATTGTTCTTATGTAGGGGGTCTGGTGCTATACGACGCTACATTTTAAATTTCACTGTGTATATTTGAAAAAAGTTAGGAATAAAAAAATACCACAAATATTTTTCTGAGCGCTGAGAATGTCAAAATGATACTTTTTGGACAGCTTTCTCTACAGGAAGCTACGCCATGGTGCTGACTTTGTAAAAATGAAAAAAGTTTTGTTACAACGCTACAAATCATCTTACACCTTCTGCTTGCATTTCGGGGGGTATCATTAGAAACATACTGTACTTGAAGACATTTAAACTAGAAAAATACATATATGAAGACTGTTATGTTGTGGACGGCTCGAGAAACCTCCCTGTTCTCTACATTGTACCGCTTTCCCAATGCTATTTACAATATGACATTAACGGTATACTGCCTCCCCAATCTGTTTCCATAGATACGCACTTGTACATTTTGCCTTTTTCACTCACTTTCACGGATTATTTTTGCATCTTAGAAATCTTTCAACTCTAAATCTGACTTGAGACCCATAAAAAGTGGTGAACGTAAACAACTGGCAGCTACTCTTGTTTTGAAGTTTTAGGGTTTGTTTTTTCATGTCAAGGATGCAGTATGTAAAAAAGTGGCTGTGTTGAGTCTCTCTCTTTGTAGCTGTATGGTGTAACATGTGAATACATAGTGTATGTGGTGAAAAGACCACAATATTGTTTTATGTTGCCAGATCAATAAAAATGTTGAAGTGAAAACTGCTCTTGTGACGTTTGTTCAATAGGCCCATGTATCCTTACAGACAGGAAAATGTTATCAGTGATCAGAGTATAAAATGGTGACGCAATATGTAGGGCTGGGTATCATTAAGAAGTTGCCGATACGATACATACCTCGATACACAGGCCACGATACGATACATATCTCGATACAGTGCACTTTCCATTCGATATGATATATTTCAAATCGATTCGATACAGTTCAATAAAAAATAAAGGCTAAATCATGGCTGTGATACTAAAAGTCTTTGTTAAACCACTTCTTGTGCAACGTTCATATGAAACACAAACATTTTAATCCTCAAAACAGAGTCAAAATATCAAATGTGTTGCATAAATGAGTTTCCTTTCACTCCACAAGCAACAAAACTGTAGCACTGTAACAAAATAATTCAGTAAAACACACGTAAAAATACTCTTGGTGATATATCGATACAGTAGCCCACGATATCGATACTGTATCATCACATTAAACGATACGATATATCAATATTCCGATATTTTTGCACACCCCTAGCAATATGTGACTTTTGTGGTGAGGGATCTAGAAATGTTCCACAGTATGGCATTAAACTGATCTCTTTTGGATTCATTATGTCACAGATGATGTTAGTGCATGTTATTGATTACTGTGAGCACGTCTGTCTCTTCACAGATCTGACCTGTAACCACGTGCTTGTTTCCATGGAGATAGGTAACTTCAATGTCACGCTGCGGAATTTTCCAGACAAAGAGACGAGCAGGTTCAGAGTTACATAACAGTAACGCACCAATATGAACAACTTAAACAAATTCATCTGATTTATTTCACTTTACACCACTCATATATATTGTGTGTTAAGGTGCATGATGTAAAAAAAAAACAAAAAAAAAAAACAATATGACAACTGTACAGACTAGTTCAGTTAACTCTTTGTATTTACGTGTCAAAAATAAAGTCACAATTAAAGTCCAATTAACCCAATTAAGGGGAAACAGAATTAAAATATGAACCAACTGAAGATAAAAACTTAATAATCTCGAGGGAAATTCAAGTTTTGCTGCAGCATCATTCACACTGTTCTTCTCTGTGTCCTTTGTGTCTCAGTCAAAGGTGTCAGTGCAGTTTGACAGGAGGACTGGTCAGGGAGGGTCAGCAGATCCTGTGGAAGAGCCAAAAGTGTCCCTCCCTCCTCTGTGTCCCGCAGCATCACAGCAGCCTCCAGGGGGCGCCAGGTGAACACAACAGGAAAGGCCTCACTCTTACTCTGCTCTGGTGTTTCAGTTGGTGAGGAGATGGTTCATTCTCTCAAAGTGTTTCCTCTAGAAGGTTTTCTGACACATTTGGTGTAAAAACTCTGTAGCAACTCAAACGTCCACAGCTCCTTCTCTAGTCTCTCACAATGGATACGGGAAAAACAAACAGCTCATTTCACTAAATAATCAACAAAATAATATTGCATTTTTCAATATTTTTGTGGTTCTGTTGCTGTAAAAATGTGTAAAATGTGACTCTGAGTGATGCGGTGATGGACAGTGACTTCAAAATGCTACATGAAAGAATCCAGTGTGAATCTGCTGTATGAAGAGAAACAGAAGATGTCATTTGACTCATGTGTTTTTTGTTGTGATGCTACAAAGTAAAAGAGCTTCAGGACGCTTAATAACACTGGTATAACGCTGACTACACACGCTTCTTTAAAGATCATTTTAGACTGAATCAACAAGAGTCAGTGAAAGTTCAGCATCATCATAAACTCAGAGTTTATCAGATTAGACCTGATCCTTTGTCTGTTGTATGTAACATGGAGTCTAATAGTACTACAACTACTTCACTACTGCAACTTTTTAATCAGTTATCAAGTCTATATTATTGTTGTTATTACTGTGGTCTGTTACTGCAGTAGGTTTCATGTTTTTTTTTTTTCTGGTAGTTCTTCAGTGTCCTATATCAAGTGTTATTTTGTTTGAATTAGGACTATTATATCATCTACAATTGTATGTAGACGTGTGTAGACAACATTACAGTCAGATCTTTAGACTAACTGGATTATTTCTTGTTTGTATTGTCAGGTTTATGCATATTTTAATCCCATTTTAGATTCATTTTAGTTCCATTGGCTAAATCAATTCCTGGTAGTACCACCATGAAACCAGTAGGCGGCGTCTCTTCGGTTATATTTAGGCTGTAAGACGCTTGCAGGGGGGAAATAAAGCGTTAGAAAAGCGCTGTGTAAGAGTAACTTTATGTTTTGATGTGTTACTTATGGAGTTATGTTACATCTCTGGTGATTAATCACTTAAAACCGTCTATATTCTAGTTTTACCTCAATTTCTTTTACTTTCGTTTCTGCCTTGTTGAGTTCACAACCTGTGAGAGGCACTTTTACCTAGTAACGGGTGGATTTTGTGCTCAATCTGAATTCTGATTGGTTCAAAATGATCACTTGATCTTCTCATCAGAAAGTCCCACAGATAAGTCCAGCCCTCTTCCGTAATAAATGCGTCTGTCTGGTCCCTCTGCTTTACTCTTCCAGCGCCTTTCAGAGAATAAACGTCTCTGAAAACTTCTACTACAATGTTCGTCACAAATATTTTTTGTTTTGGCCTCTCTCCTTGGAGCAGGACTACATCTAAATGGCGTCGAGTCAAGTGAGTAGCCTAATGTCTCTTCTGTTTATGTTTTATTTTTAATTCTGATATCCGTAGGCATAGTTTTTTATTATTTTATTGCATTATTTTATTTATTTATTTAGGTTATTTATTAATGATTTATTATTGAACACGTTTCTCTTTCTATGTCAGCTCCGTTGTGAATAAGAAGTGTATAAATCGTGAACTACACAGGTCTGTTTGGACATGTTGTGGACGCTGTAGGCCTTTGCTTTTGCTTTTGCTGCGTGTTGTTCTTGTCACTAAGATTTATTCCACTAGATTTATTCCAAGGTTTGGTTTAGTCCTTCATTTTGCTCCTGGTTCTTTTTCTTTTGGTCTAACACAACTGAAACACGATTTTTTTTTCACATCTTTTGTCTCTGAACCCAAACAGTCCAACATGTAACGTAGGTCTACAGAGGAGCCTTTACGCACAAACTTTCACTTTGGCACAGAATAGTTTTTACCTCGCTGACGTTGGTAGCAAATGGAAATGAAATATTACCTTATAATTTGACAATTTAGTGTAGAAATGTCTTAACTTGTAGGCTAAAATGTTACTGATGCCATGAAGGTTCCACAGTGTGGCATTAAACGTAATATCTGTATTTCAGGGCATTTTTGAGCAATAAAAACACTTAAAGATCCACAGGAGACTTGACAACAGCTCACACATTACACTATAATCATACATTTTAAATAATTACAGCACCAAATATATAATGAACACAGAAATATACAGATTTTTATGCACCGATAAAACAAAATATAGTAAAATATATCTGTGCTATAAAGATGAAAACAGTAGTTTGATCAGTTTAAAGCTCCTGTGACCTCTCAGGCGTTCAGGTTTAAGATGGTGAATGCCAAGTTTAATGCCGTACTGTGCAACATTTCAAGCAAAGCAATAATATCTCTATGGAGACAAGCAGGAGGCAGACGCTCCAACAGAAAATGTGCATAATTTTTAACTTTTCTGAGATTTGTGTGATGAATTTTGACAAACAGTGCAGGTCTAATGATCACCTGCTGCATTTGGTGATTCTTTAATTCTGACTCAAACCAGTTTCTGTCTCCAGTGTTGTTGTAATCTGTAGAAGGAGGAGCCATGAGCCACGGACAAGCAAAAATGTGAAAACTTATCTTAAAATGGGACTAATTGGACTGAATTTTTGGCAATAATCACTCACCTCGGATTTCACTCAGACTTTATTTTAAGAAGAACTCAGCCTAAATGTGCAGGGTTTGTGTGATAAACATGTGAATGAAACAAAACACAACTCCAGGTCTGTTTTAGATGAGGAAACATAAATCAGAAAATAGTGTAATATGAGCCCTTTAAGAAATTTAAGAAAAATCTATATCACCATTTTCTTCGATCCTAAATCACAATTTCAGTTTTATTATAATTCACGTACAAGTAGTATGTTTCTTTTACTTTCTGACACTTGACTTTGACGAGGATATAAGGATGATCCAGTGTGATTACTCATCTTTGCACATGTTCCCGTCATAAAGAAGAAACACCACTGAGACAAAAGCAGCTCACATTTGTACTTTATCACATTTAGTTTTCAAAATGTCGCCCAAAAACAACATGGCACTTCAATCCGCTGCGTCAAAATGTCCTCCACACACTATTTGTTTCACTTTTATTTTTTCTGCTCTCTGCTGGAATTTTGTTTCGCCTTTACCTGACAACACCTGACGCAGAGGCTCATTCTGAATTCTGATTGGTTAAACGTCGTGGAATTTTATAAATATTAATCAGCAGCAATTGTTTAAAAAGAACAATGTGAGATTTTCAGATCCAAATGTGAAATAAACCATGTGTCTTAATGGTTTTACTGTTTAGTTTTGTTTCTGTGACGACTTTAAAAACACAACTTCAAAACAATATTTATTTTTTCCAATTTTATATTTACAACACATTAAAGATTTATTTTGGGATTATCATGTGTTCATATAAGTAACTAATTTAATTCAGTTAATTTAGTCAAAAGCCTCATTTTATAAACTATAATTATTATTTGTTGTTGAATTTTTGTTAGATTTTTTTGTTTTTGTTTGTGATATGTAAGATTTGTTTTATTCTGTATTTTTAACTGACTGTGTTTTTCTTTTCACAGTGACTCATTCTCTGATGTATTTTGAGACTTCTTCAACTGATGTCTCAAACTTCCCAGAGTTCATTGCTGTTGGTTATGTGAATGGCCTTCAGATCGTTCATTATGACAGTAACACAAAGAGAGCAGTGCCCAAACAGGAGTGGATGAAGAGGATCACAGAGGAGGATCCACAGTACTGGGACACACAGACTCAGATCAGTTTGAACAATGAGCAGTCGTACAAAGTCAACACTGAAATAGTGAAACAGCGCCTCAACCAGACTGAAGGTTTGTCCCATTTCACTTTTTACAGCTCATCTTATTCAATTTTATGTTGTATATGAAAAAACACATTTATATTGTTTATATTAGTGCTGTATTATATGGTCATTTATTTTCAGTCCGTTTTATTATTATTTATTTTCAGTTCCATTTAGTCCAGGAGAAAACACATCTGTTCAGCTCGTGCACTTTTATATAAGATTCATCATTTTAAAATCACTTTGAAAACATGACTAAACAACACATGTATTATAGTTTTATGTCCAACAACACAAAATGTCAAAATACAATGTGAAATAAAAACCTGTCATGTTTGTGTTTCAGGCTCTCACATGGTGCAGAAGATGTACGGCTGTGAATGGGACGATGAGACCGGTGACATAAATGGATGGTTTCAGTACGGTTTTGATGGAGAAGATTTTATCGCCTTTGACCTGAAGACTGAGACTTTTGTGGCTCCGAGATCAGAGGCCGTCATCACCAAACACAAGTGGGAGAGAGATGGAGTGGCTGTTAAAAAGAAAAACTACATCACCCACATTTGTGTTGATTATCTGAAGAAATACTTGAAATATGGACAGAGCACCATTATGAGGAAAGGTAACATGTTTTAAACTAATTACAACTTTACACAGATGAGAGGCTTTGGTGCAGAAATCTGATCAATAAAAAAACAAGAATCTCTTTTTCACACAATAAATAAAAAACAAATATGTGAAAATAGTGAGGCTGCAGTCGACTAAAGACATTCACTGTGTTGATGAGTCGACTAAAAGAGACTAAAACGTGTTGTGTGACGTGAGCTCTGACATTTGACCCAAACTGCACTGATCAGAGCAAAAGATCACACCAGTTCACTCCATGACACATATTTATACAGAAAACTACAAATAATCAGAGGCAGATTCAACTCAGATTAAAGAACTCAGATTAAACTCACAGCAGACGCTCAAATCTCACACTAACTCACTCCGAGCGTGTTGTTTTTTTTCTGCTGTGATGCATGTAGCAGGTATTGGGCCGGAACAATCACCACTAACAGTTTTAAATATTTATGTGGAAAGATCGACTCTGAAATCAACTCAATGACACAGAGACGTTATTTTCAGTTTCTTGTCTTTCTGCTTCTGCCGACTAACTTTAATTGAACATGAGCACAATGACATTTTACTTACAAATGACATTTAAATCTTCTTTTCTCTTCGTTAGCACCAGTAATAACAACTGAACTTTCCACTGTCCTCGGTGAATCAAACTATAACTATTAATGAATAATGTTCATTGTCTCTTCATCTAAAATGTACTGTTCATTTCTAATTGAAAAATATGACGTAAAATGACTGAAGTCTTTTTTTTTTTAAGAGTTCATTGTTTTGACTTCACGTTTATATTTGTGCCTTTTGTTTTGAACCGAAACAAAACGTTTAATGTTCACAAAATAAACAACAGTGGATAAAAACAACAAGAACAAACACAACACAAGTGTGACTGGACTGCAGCACATCACAAGAACCAGACCAGGACATTTACACCTGGTTTACACCTGGTTTACACCTGGTTTACACCTGGTTTACACCTGGTTTACACCTGGTTTAGTCCTGGTTTACACCTGGTTTTAGACCTGGTTTACACCTGGTTTACACCTGGTTTAGACCTGGTTTAGTCCTGGTTTACACCTGGTTTACACCTGGTTTAGTCCTGATTTAGTTCTGGTTTAGACCTGGTTTTAGTCGTGTTTTAGTCCTGGTTTAGACCTGGTTTAGACCTGATTTTAGTCCTGGTTTAGTCCCGGTTTAGACCTGATTTTAGTTCTGGTTTAGACCTGGTTTAGTCCTGATTTTAGTCCTGGTTTAGTTCTGGTTTAGTCCTGATTTTAGACCTGGTTTTAGTCTTGGTTTAGACCTGGTTTAGTCCTGATTTTAGTCCTGGTTTAGTTCCTGGTTTTTAGTCCTGGTTTAAGTTCCTGGTTTTAGTCCTCTTTTAGTCTTGGTTTAGACCTGGTTTAGTTCTGGTTTAGACCTGGTTTTAGTTTTGGTTTAGTCCTGGTTTAGTCCTGATTGTAGTCCTCATTTAGTCTTGGTTTAGTCCTAGCTTAGTCCTGGTTTTATTCCTGGTTTAGTCCTGGTTTAGTTCTGGTTTAGTCCTGGTTTAGATCTGATTTTAGACCTGCTTTAGTCCTGGTTTAGACCTGGTTTTAGTCCTGATTTAGTCCCGGTTTTAGTCCTCTTTTAGTCCTGGTTTAGACCTGGTTTAGTCCTGGTTTTAGTCCTGATTTTAGACCTGGTTTTAGTCCTGGTTTAGTTCTGGTTTTTGTCCTGGTTTAGTCCTGGTTTTCGTCCTGGTTTACACCTGATTTTAGACCTGATTTTAGACCTGCTTTAATCCTGGTTTAGACCTGGTTTAGTTCTGATTTTATACCTGGTTTTAGTCCTGGTTTAGTCCTGGTTTAGTCCTGGTTTTAGTCCTGATTTTAGACCTGGTTTTAGTCCTGGTTTACTCTTGGTTTAGATCTGATTTTAGACCTGGTTTAATCCTGGTTTAGACCTGGTTTTCGTCCTGGTTTAGTTCTGGTTTTAGTCCTCTTTTAGTCTTGGTTTAGACCTGGTTTAGTTCTGGTTTAGACCTGGTTTTAGTTTTGGTTTAGTCCTGGTTTTAGTTCCTGGTTTAGTCCTCATTTAGTCTGGTTTAGTCCTTTAGTCCTGGTTTTAGTCCTGGTTTAGTTCTGGTTTAGTCCTGGTTTAGATCTGATTTTAGACCTGCTTTAGTCCTGGTTTAGACCTGGTTTTAGTCCTGATTTAGTCCCGGTTTTAGTCCTCTTTTAGTCCTGGTTTAGACCTGGTTTAGTCCTGGTTTTAGTCCTGATTTTAGACCTGGTTTTAGTCCTGGTTTAGTTCTGGTTTAGTCCTGGTTTTCGTCCTGGTTTAGACCTGATTTTAGTCCTGGTTTAGACCTGGTTTACACCTGATTTTAGACCTGGTTTAGTCCTGGTTTAGTCCTGGTTTAGTCCTGGTTTAGTTTTCCTGGTTTAGTCCTGGTTTAGTTCTGGTTTAGTTCCTGGTTTAGTCCTGGTTTAGTCCTGGTTTAGTTTTCTGGTTTAGTTCTGGTTTAGTCCTGGTTTAGTCCTGGTTTAGTCCTGGTTTAGTTCTGGTTTTAGTTTTGGTTTAGTCCTGGTTTAGTTCTGGTTTAGTCTGGTTTAGTCCTGGTTTAGTTCTGGTTTAGTTTTCTGGTTTAGTCCTGGTTTACCTGGTTTTTCTGGTTTAGTTCTGGTTTAGTCCTGGTTTAGTTCTGGTTTAGTCCTGGTTTAGTTCTGGTTTAGTCCTGGTTTAGTTCTGGTTTAGTTCTGGTTTAGTTCTGGTTTAGTCTGGTTTAGTCTGGTTTAGTTCTGGTTTAGTCCTGGTTTAGTCCTGGTTTAGTTCTGGTTTAGTCCTGGTTTAGTTCTGGTTTTAGTCCTGGTTTAGTTCTGGTTTAGTCTGGTTTAGTTCTGGTTTTAGTTCTGGTTTAGTCCTGGTTTAGTTCTGGTTTAGTTCTGGTTTAGTCCTGGTTTAGTTCTGGTTTAGTTCTGGTTTAGTTCTGGTTTAGTCCTGGTTTAGTTCTGGTTTAGTTCTGGTTTAGTTCTGGTTTAGTTTTTCTGGTTTAGTTCTGGTTTAGTTCTGGTTTAGTCCTGGTTTAGTTCTGGTTTAGTTTACCTGGTTTAGTCTGGTTTAGTTCTGGTTTAGTCCTGGTTTAGTCCTGGTTTAGTTCCTGGTTTAGTCCTGGTTTAGTTCTGGTTTAGTCTGGTTTAGTTCTGGTTTAGTCCTGGTTTAGTTCTGGTTTAGTTCTGGTTTAGTTCTGGTTTAGTTTAGTTCTGGTTTAGTCCTGGTTTAGTTCTGGTTTAGTTCTGGTTTAGTTCTGGTTTAGTTCTGGTTTAGTTCTGGTTTAGTTCTGGTTTAGTTCTGGTTTAGTCCTGGTTTAGTTCTGGTTTAGTTCTGGTTTAGTCCTGGTTTAGTTCTGGTTTAGTTCTGGTTTAGTTCTGGTTTGGTGAACTGGAGGAGTTGTGGTTCATTCATTATTTCTCATTTATAAAATTGCATTAGATTAAATAAAAACTAAGTGACTGAACAAATATAAATGTATAAATCCTTAATACAATATTTGTATTATTATTTTTATTTAAGATACTTTAAATAATACAATAATAATTACAAAAACTTAAAACACCACTGACCGATCAAAGGAGTAAAAAACTACAGCTCTAGAAAAGACATTCTTTTATCATTTACAATCATTAAAAACAAACAGTTGATTTGAGTTGTTTTTTTGTTTTGTTGCAGTTTTCTTGAATCACATTTTAAAGTTTAAACATCAATACAAATAATCCCATGTGTTTTATCATGAGAACATTCACAAATGTCTAATTCAAGACTTTACACTTTTATTGTTGCTCTGCAGTCGTCTAGAGGAGCCTGATCTACTGAAAATAAAATGGAAATGATATTTTATAAAGAAAACAGTTTATTGTCTATAATGTTTTATTACCAAGTTCATCAAAACAACTGGACTCACTCAGATTTGTTCAATTCAAAACATAATAAGGACTGAATAATATTTTTTGGATCTAGTAGTAGAAGTGTTGTATTTCAAAAAAGAAAGAGGTGAAGTGACATTTCTGTAATTTTCCTTTTCTCTGATCCAAAACTGTGTGTGGTCCTGCTCCAGAGCTCCCTCTGGTGTCCTTCCTGCAGAAGACTCCCTCGTCCCCGGTCACCTGCCACGCCACAGGCTTCTACCCCGACAGAGCCATGCTGTTCTGGACCAAAGACGGAGTGGAGCTGCACGAGGGCGTGGACCCCGGGGAGATCCTGCCCAATCACGACGGGACCTTCCAGATGAGTGTGGACCTGGACATGTCCCACCTGTCCTCTGTCCCACCTGAGGACTGGGGACACTTCGGGTGCATGTTCCAGTTGTCTGGAGTTCCAGACATGCCCACCAAGCTGCACCCAGACCTGATCATGAGCAACGGTGAGCAGCTTTCTGTGGGACTAAAGACTGTGTGAAGTGATGAAAATGAAAGAACAGTAAACGTATTTAACACTGAACAATAACAGGGAAATGTGGGTGACGAGGGACGGGCGATATATCGGGTCCAGTATCAGTATCGGCTGATATCGATACACAAAAATACTCTGTGCCTTTTTTGAACAAATGAGTCGAAATGGAAATAGAAGATTTACACAAACACAACAAATGATTTTCTATCTCAGATAAAAACAGATTGTTACTATTTTACAGATCTGAAATGTTCATTTGTGAGCTTTACTTCAACTTAAGATAATTTAGTTAGTTAATGAATTAATATCAGTATCGTCAAAAATCGAGTATTTGCCACAGCAGCAGGCTAAATATTGATTTTATCGGTTTTGGCTCAAAAAATTCAACCAATTGTTCTTGATT